GTGACGATTAAGAGCATGGAGTCTGGAGATGAAGAGTCATGGCTCAAATGTTGCTTTTACCACTTGTAATCTGTGGGATAGTGGGAAAATCACCTTTCTGTGCCTGAGGTTCTCTATCTCTATGTTGATACAATCTGTTTCAGCGTAGCTTTTGTGTCCTATATAATAGTGTCTGTTATCTATTTTAATGTGATCTTGGCATTTCCTATTTTTTAGTGCTAGTTCTTTATTATTTCATTTTCTCCAGCGAAGAAGTACAGAAAACATGAATTTGGACTGAGTTCCTACTCCTGATGAATTAATCCAGTTGATAAACTATGCCATGCTCATGGGTCATCACAGAGCTCCACCATGGCACACATCAGTCAATCTGTACAAACTTACTGCTCAAAGCTTCATCAACATATTACTTTTACGAATGTTAGGGGTATTTTAATGAGGGGTACTATATGCCACTCCCAGATAACAGAGTTCACCCATTTTCCTAAAACAGCTTTCTGTAATTCTTCCTAACCATCAACATGTGCAGCATGCCAATTATATCCTCTTCTATTTTTTTTCCTCTTCTTTTCTCTAAATCCTCATCTACTCCTTGCTCTGATCCTTCTGTAAAGTCTAATTTTCCACTTAATTGTAAAGATTAATTTCATTCTTTTTGTTTCAATGTTCTGAGTTATAGTCATGCCCCATGGCATATATTTTAGGAGCTAATTAGCAGCTCAAAGCTTTCTGAGTTAAAAATAGAAGATAATTATTTTAGAGAGAGAAGGTGACTAAGATTTATTGAGCAAGTATGTTTTCAGGAGTGTTTTTAGGTTTAAATGAATAAAAAATAAAAATAGATAAGATTTGGAGCCAAATATATTTCAATAATGCACAGGTGAAAAGGAGGTCTAGAATCTAGACACATGTTCTGTCTACCACATTATATTGACATGTCCCTTTACAACTTTGAAATATAGAATTTCTTTCTCAGATTACATTTGTAATATGCTTTCTAATTATTCAGGCACATATAAATATTATCAATAATATTTCAATTTAATACAATAACAGTATTTCTTGAAACCATTTAAGAGATAAAATATATAATCAATGACTGTGGAGTATCATTAACCTTCTGTGTTGCTGTTGTTCAATTTGGTATTAAATCATGCGAGGCTAGCATTGTGCCTCACACCTGTAATCCCAAGTATTTGAGAAGTCAGGGCAGTAGGATAGCTTGAACCCAAGAGTTTAAGACCAGCCTAGGAAACTTAAGGTGACTCCATCTCTACAAAAAAAAAATAATAATAATTGAAAATAGCCAAGCATGGTGGCACACACCTGTGTTCCCAATTACTCATGAGGCTGAGGTGGGAGAATTGCTTGAGCCCAGGAGGTCATGATCCTGCCACTGCACTCTAACCTGGACAACACAGTGAGACTGACTCAAAACAAAACACAACAAACTGTGTGAGTATCTGGGGAGAAGAGAACTTCCATTACCTTACAGAAGTAATCATTGAATAGATTGTTACTGGGGATTTATTAGAGGCTTGGTCAATTTGAGGGGCTCAATGCAAAGTGAAAATAAAAACCCTGGCCAGTGACAGGAAGTCAGTTTTCCCTTTCTTCCCTTTCCTGCAAAGCTCACCACTCCAAACCATGGCAGCCAGAAACCACCAAGGATTGCAGATGCTATGAGAGGATGTGCTCAATATGTGGATGCAAGTTACTGAGAGGTGCTAATAAATCTTATTGGATGGCACAATAGAGATGGCTACTCGAGTCAGAGATGACTGCTACTTTGCCCATCTCCAGATGCTGCAGGGCCCTCACTTGGATCTGGCCTTACCTACTCCCAGCCCACATTACCTGGTGGGATTTCATTTGCAATAAAGAACTCAAAAATAAAAATATTAAGAATTTCAAATGATGACTGCAGAATATTAACTCCAGATGCAGGACATTTTGAGCACTGATCCCTTTACAACTTCACAGATCATATTGCAATAAAATCCACCCTGTTTAGATACATTGATGGAGAATTTAAATACTGGTCCTAAGAAATAATTACAATATTTTAAATATTTTTGCTAATTCTTGCTTATACAGATAGAGAGATTGCCATATTTCCTTTCCAGACATGTTGAGAATTAGTCACAGATTATAGAAGATGACCTGGAAATTTCCTGTGAAGCTACTGTCTAAATAGGGACATTGGAAAATATAAAAATGCTTGACAAATTCAATAAAAGAAAGTGCTATTCCAGGTCAAGTAAACAGTTTTATGAAAACACCAAAGAAGGGAAGTTTAAAATATATTTTGGGAAAACAAGAATTGTTAAATTGGATCCTTATCTTATAACATATTCAAATATCAAATTAAAATAGATTAAATATTTACATTTAAGACCTAAAATTGTAAAATCATTGTAAAAAATATAGGAGGAAATCTTATTGATATTGGATTGGGCAGTAATTTCTTAGATATGCCATCAAAATTTTAAAAATTGACAAGAAAATACAGCAACCAAGAAACCTTCTGTATAGCAAAGAGAAAAAATCAATAAAATGAAAAAGCAACATATTAAATAAAAGAAATATTTACAAACCATGTATATAGCAAGAAATATGCCAAATATATAAGGATATTACACAACTCCATGGCATAATAACTATTTCATTAAAAATGGAAAAAAAAACTTAATAGACATTTCTCAAAGTAAAAAAGGCATATGGATGGTCAATAGATATATGAAAAGATGCTAAACATCAGTTTCAGAGAGTTACAAAACAAAACCATAATGAGATATAACTTTGCATCAGTTAGGATGGCTATTATCAACAAAACCTAACAATGTTGGTGAAGATAAGAAAAAATTTGGAGCCTATCTCACCATTCGTGACAATTCAAAAATGGTGCATTTGCTATGAAAAATTGTATGAAAAATGTCCACCAATTAAAAATGGAAGGCCACAGGATCCAGTAATCTCATTCCTGGGTATCTACCTAAAATAATTGAAATCAGAATCTCTAAGAGATCTGTACTTCAATGATCACTCTGGCACTACACTTAATAGTCAAGCTATGGCATCAGCCCAAATATCCATTGACAAATGAATGAACAAAGAAAATATCATACAGACATACAGCAGACTATTATTCATTTTTTAAAAAAGAGGAAATTTTGTCATATGTGGCAAGATAGATAAACATTAATAGCATTATGCTAAATAAAGTAAGTCAGTCACAAAAGGACAAATTTTGCAAAATTCCACTTATATATTTTACCAAAAATAATCAAGCTCATGGAATTAGAAAATACAAAGGTACAAAGGGGGTTACTAGTGACCAAGGGAAGGAGAATGTGGGGATGTGCTATAAAGTTACAGTTATTTAAGATAAATTAATTCTGTAAATCTATTCAACAGTGTAGTACCTATAGTTAAAAATACTGTGCAAGGCACTTAAATCTTTAAGAGAACAGACCTCATGTTAAGCATTTACCACGAAACAAAAGAAAGCAACAAAAAAGGAACACAAAGAAATTTATGGAGATGAATATGTCTACTCCTTTGATTAGAGTGATAGCTTCAGGATGCATTCATGCCAAACTCATTAAATAATGTACATTAAATATGTTCAGCTTCTTAGTGTTAATTCTACCTCAATAAAGTTGTTTATAAAAAATAAAAAAGACATGTTGGCATATTTTGTTAGATTAAAGGAGAGAACTGGAGTAATAAGATGGAAAGAAAATAAAGTTGAAAGGTGAGAATAAGATTGAAAAATAAGATAGGGCCAGATTGTCATGGTGTAATTTTGATTGGAAGAATATTTTAAACTCAAAAGTGATCCCTTAAAGGAGAAATTTTAATGACCCGATATTAAAAAATTAATATAGATTTTAGTTTTTTTGACAAGAATTATGTTGCCTGATGATGGTTTTGTGTTAAAAGAGCTACGTGTTCACAAAATTTATTTGCTAAACTACAAACTATCAAAGGAAGATGTGATATACTGGGAAAAACTAGAAAATTGGGCCAGAATTTTAGTGTTTGTAGAATCTTTAGATAATCCAAGCAGAAATAAATCTTATAAAGAGGAATTTCTAGGGAATGGTAGCTAATAGTAACGTGAAAAAATTCAAATGTATATAGGAACCAACCGAAATGATGAAAGTAGAAAAACGTAAAATGAAAAGTGTTGAAATCAGGGAATAATGTCATACACATGACTGCAAACTTTGAGCAAGCCTCAGTATGGTATGCACTTTGATCCAGCTGTATAATGACAGAATCTACTAGTTTGACAAAAGAAACTGGTAAAGGAGAGCAGAATTAGTTCTTACCTTCCATATTGAACTGAAGACAAGATCAGGGTAGAACCACAGGAAAATTAAATGACTTTTAACAAAGACTGTCTTAACAATTTAGCAAAACTAATGGCATTGACAACCATGTGTAGATGCTTGTGAGTTAGGTCAGAACTCACAGTGTAATAACCTACCCTGGGCTTGCATCACTGATTCCATTTTAGCTGTAAACTCCAACCTGGCTTTCCTCTCCTTACCACAGCCCCTTTGTTTGCATAACTGGGTCATGCTGCACTTAGAAGCATTGAAGCCTACTGTTCTTGATACTGGTAACCATTGTAACCGCACCCTGCTTGGCATACCTATTCCCTCCTACTGTAAAAAAAGAAAAAAGTTTCCCTTTGATCATTGCATAGAAGGAGCCTGATTGCTCCCCTTCTTGATAATTGTATGGCAACCACTTGTTCTCACAGCCACTTCCTCTAACCTGCTTTGCTGCTTCTGTAAAATTCTGCTTCAGCTAGGTACTCCCCTCCCCTACCTAAATCAAGGTATAAAAGATAATCAGACCCCTTCGTTGGGCAGAGAGAACTTTGAGCATTAATTGTCTCTGGGTCACAGGCTAATTAATAAAGGACTCTTGATTTGTAACTCAGAGAGTGGTGTGTTCCTCCTAACTCGCTCAGTTACAACAGAAACTTAGACACACATAACTATGGTGAGTAGATGTTTTTAATTGATAATTTCACCAGGTGTTTAATGCGTTCAATTGAAAATTGGAGCTGTCAAGCTGCTTTCATGACAGGAAGATCACCAGCTGAGTGGGATGTTTCACTTTTCCAGTGTGATGTAATGTCCTGTCCATCTTCATGATAATCCTGGAACACAATCGAATCAGAGTCAAATGAGATGCTAAAGTTTCTCCCAGAGGCAATGATAAAGTAAAAGGCAGGTACTAAATGCTGAAGGTTTGGAAACACATGGGCTTCAATTATGTCATAAAGTTCTCTTCATTTTCTAAACAAATTAGAGTTTGTACCAAAACATGAGTGCAAATTCTGCAACTGAAGCTATGACTTCAGAACCTTAGGTTTCTGAGTGATTAAAACTAAAAAACTGGTATCACATACCTTTGTTATGGGATAAATTGAATCCCCTGAAAATCAGATGTTCAAGTCTTAAACCACCACAGAATGTGACTGGGTAGACAAAGCCTTTAAAGAAGTAACTAAGGTTAAATGAGGTCATTAGGATGACCTCTAAATTAACATGACTGATCTTCTTATAAGAGATTAGGACACAGACACACACACACACAGAGGAAAGACCATGTGAAAACAACAGGAAAACATAACCATTGAAAAGCCAAGGAGAGAGGCTTAAGAAGAAATCAGCCTTGCCAACATCTTGATTTTGGACTTTTAGCCTCCAGAACTGGAGAAAATAGCTTATTATTTAAGCTACCTTGTCTGTGGTTTGTGGTCATGGCAGTCCTAGCAAACCAATTTACCCGCAATGTATACATTCTAAGAAAAGGTTACGAACTATATCTAGGAAAAGTTAGAGAGTCCAATTGATATTTACTTGTGCTGGGTTTAGAAAAATACACATTGTGCCAGGATGGTCTCGATCTCTTACCCCGTGATCCACCCGCCTCGGCCTCCCAAAGTGCTGGGATTATAGGTGGGAGCCACGCGCCCGGCCCACATGGTGAATATATTAACATGTAGGTTTGTATGAACAGGAAGGAATGAAATGAAATAGAAGTTTCGGAAGAGATGAGTAAAACTTACTAAACATAAAAACCATATTTATTTCAGATCAATTTATTTAGGAAACCAAATTAGAAGCAATTAACTAAAACTCTAATTTGTTTACAAGTTAAAGAGCCCTTTATGAAATAAATAAATCCATAAAGTGTCAAGCCTTCAACATTTTGTAGGTGCCTTTTACGTTGTTTAAATAAGAAAAGTTAAACTATAATCAAATGAACTTTAGTATTTTCTAATTTTTAATATTATTTTGAATAAAGGAAAGATTGGCTGTTACTAGAATGTATTCTAATAATTCTCATTTTTAAGTTTGTTTCATAAATGCCACCCACCTTAAATCCCATTTGGAAATCCCATTCTCCTCTTTACTGTCATACTTAGTCCAATTAGCTCTCCATTTCTTTCCTTAAGTATCATCAAACCAAAGCCACTTATTTAAATGACTTTTATTGTAGGTATAGGACAGCAGAAGAAAACAACATGAAAAAAAATAAAAAACCTTTAAATTACATAGTAACCATCATTGTTCTAAAATTTGATATCCATTACACATAAATGTCAATTTCTCCCTTGGTTTTCTTATATCTCTTATTTCTGGGGTAAGCTTTCCCCTTAAAATAACTTTCTTCAGCAATGAATGCCAGCTATTCTCCCTCCCTTTCAAAAACAAAAATCTTATCTCTTATGTAGATGAATTATATTTTTCGAATGTAAACTTCTATATGTGCTACTTACAGGGCCTCATCTTTCGGGTTCATCCATCCCTTATGCCATGAAGTTACTTTACCTAAGACAAAATATCTCTTCCTAAGAGGAAGTTGTCTTTCTTTCTAAATCAACTGAATCAATCCACATGAATACAAGAGATAAGCTTTTCTTTTTTGAAAGGGAGGGAGAATAGCGGGACTCTGTTGCTGAAGAAAGTTATTTTAAATGGCAAGGTTACTCTAGAAATAAAAGATATAAGAAAACCAGGAAGAAATTCGCCTTTATGTGTAATGGATATCAAATTTTAGAGCAATCCACATGAAATTTTAATTTTTCTTTCTTGTCTCTTATTACAAACAAGGATGACAACAACCTGAAATTAAAAGGGAACTAATAGAGATTAAAAAATCGTGGCCCCCCTCACAAAAAAAAAAAAATCATATGCTAGAATATAAAATGCCTTAGAAGCAGTAAATTGCAGAAAATAGAACAATGATGGGATAACTGGCTTGTACACACAAACACATCTGTACACACGTATACATAGGATGGCTATTAAAATTCTAATATAGCTATCTTATTTTTCTGTTCAGAAAGAGCAGCAGGCATAGATCTTCCATGGCAAAGTGCTAGAGGAAAAAGCTGTCCCACAGCCTATTTCTTGACCATTGTGCCGAACCTCTGTGGCCAGCGACTGCTGCTTTTCCTGAATCTTATTTAAGCCACTCTGTTTACCCAATAATTTATCAGCTTTTATTTAAGTTGTTCCCAATTGTGTATCTATGTCTGATATACATTATGCTCCAGCAGGTCTGTTTTTTAGCTATTAAACAAAAACTAATTTGCAAATATACCAGATGGAAAAATTATATATCTACATCTGAGATATATATGCATATATATATAGAAAATATTAATTATATATCTATATATTATAATACTGTGAATTATTAATTATCTGTCTAAATCCATATAGATAATTGACACATGTAAACACATACATATTTATGTAATTACATATTTATATAATTATGTATATATATAGTTTCCAAATCTGAGCTTTCCTGGGAATCAGCAGTTGAGATTAGTTTCTGTTTTTGCATTTTATCTGGTTACAAAAGTATTTAGAGTGGAATAATGGAATAGATATTGATATTTGGGGGACAAAACAAGAAATGAAACTAGAAGGTTAGAAGGTACATAGGCTCAGTATCTTTTAGAAAATTTTGCCTTTTGGAAAATGCCTTTCTTTCAAAGATATTTCCTAAAAGGCAAAATTTTCTAGAAGATATTTTATTAAAGGTAAAATATTAATATCAATTATCAATTTAAATATATAGATAATTGATAAATATACAGAAATATGTATGTATAAATATAATTATGCATACATATAATTTTCAGATGTGAGCTTCACTGAGAATCAGCAGCTGAGGTTAATCTCCAACTTTCCATCTAATCTGGTTACAGAGATATTTAGAGTGAAATAGTGGAATAGATATTAGTATTTCAGGGACAAAATAAATTAAACTAGAAAGTTGGAAGATACATACACAGTTTAGTACCAGATGTAAGAAAGACATTTTCTAAAAGGCAAAATTAGTCATAGATAAAAATGAGCTACTCTGAGAGGAGGAGTGATGGTCAAGTAAAGATTCAAAGGAACACTCAAGAGAAGTACTTTAAAGGTAATTTATGTTAAAATTGTCTCAAGAAGTCTTATTTTACATATATCATTATTTTTTTAATGTATTATGTGGCTCTTAATCTCGATATCAATAAAATCATACCCTTACCTTTTTTTCCCAATCAGCAGAAATACATTTTCAGAGTTTATGGATTTTTTTATACATTTAACTTTTTCATTCTAATGCGAAACTGAACTTCACTGATCTGTTACTCACATATCCTTTCTCTACATACCCTGAAAATCTTTTATTTTACCAACCATAAAACTGCAAATGTGATGACTATGGCAGCTCTTTTGTTTTGTATCTAATACTGAGAAACTATAAAAAATTAACAAATATAATAACTTAACTATAAAATTGATTATTGAACATTTTTACCACAGGGAGTAGATTTCTGTTTATATTTTTGCCAAATAAGGAAACTCAGTCATTCTTTAGCTATTATCACTTGATACTTTTCACAATACTTTTATTCATATTTTTATTTATACAAGAAACTTTATTTTATCATGGATAAGGCCTCAGATTAGGCTGAGAGAAGAATCATTTAAAAAAGAAAATATGAATCATTTAAAAAAGGAAAACCATTAAAAGTATCATAAATTATATACAATGCTTAAAATGGAACTATATTCCCTTAAAAATTATTGGGTATCACCAGAGTCCATATCCAGTACGTCCAAAACACCAGAATTCTTTCATCCGGTATACTTACTAATGAGGCATGATTTAATGATTAAAAACATAGAACTGAAGAAACACTATACAAAAATACATAATCAATATCATTAAAATGACCATACTGCCCAAAGTAATTTATAGATTCAATGCTCTTCCCATCAAGCTACCATTGACCTTCTTAACAGGAGTGGAAAAAAAACACCTTAAACCTCATATGTAACCAAAAAAGAGTCCAGATAGCCAAGACAATCCTAAGCAAAAAACAAAGCTGGAGACATCATGCTACCTGACTTCAAACTATACTACAAGGCTACAGTAATCAAAACAGCATAGTACTGGTACCAAAACAGTGGTATAGACCAATGGAACAGAACAGAGACCACAGAAGTAACACCACACATCTACAACCATCTGATCTTTGACAAACTGGACAAAAACAAGCAATGGGGAAAGGATTCCCTGTTTAATAAATGTTGTTGGGAAAACTGGCTAGTAGAAAGCTGAAACTAGACCCCTTCCTTGCACCTTATACAAAAATTAACTCCAGATGGATTAAATATTTAAGCATAAGATCTAACACCATATAAACCCTAGAAGAAAACCTAGGCAATATCATTCAGGACATAGGCATAGGCAAGGACTTCATGACCAAAATACCAAAAGCAATGGCAACAAAAGCCGAAATAGACAAATGGGATCTGATTAAACTTAAGAGCTTCTGCACAGCAAAGGAAACAATCTTTAGAGTGTACCAGCAACCAACAGAGTGGGAAATATTTTTTTGCAATCTACTCATCTGACAAAGAACTAATTTCCAGAATCTACAGAGAACTTAAACAAACTTACAAGAAAAAAACCAAACCCGTCAAAAAGTGGGGAAAGGATATGAATAGACACTTTTCAAAAGAAGACATTTATGCAGCCAACAAACATGAAAAAATGCTCATTATCACTGATTATTAGAGAAATGGAAATCAAAACCACATTGAAATACCATCTCATGCCAGTTAGAATGGTGATCATTAAAAAATCAGGAGACAACAGATGCTGGAGAGGATGGGGAGAAATAGGAAAGATTTTACACTGGTGGTGGGAGTGTAAATTAGTTCAACCATTGTGGAAGACTGTATGGTGATTCCTCAAGGATCTAGAAATAGAAATATCATTTGACCCAGCAATTCCATTAGTGGGTATATACCCAAAGGATTATAAATTGTTCTATTGTAAAGACACGTGCACACGTATGTTCATTGTGGCACTGATTGCAGTAGGAAAGACTTGGAACCAACCCAAATGTCCATCAGTGATACACTGGATAAAGAAAATGTGGCTCATATACACCATGGAATACTATGCAGCCATAAAAAAGGATGGGTTCATGTCCATTGCAGGAATATGGAAGAATCTGGAAACCATTCTCAGCAAACTGACACAAGAACAAAAAACCAAACACCCTATGTTCTCACTCATAAATGGGTGTTGGACAATGAGAACACATGGTCACAGGGAGGGGAATATCACACACTGGGGCCTGGTGGGGGGTTGGGGGGATAATGGAGGGATAGCAGGGGGAAAAGGGATCGGTGAGGGATAACATTTGGAGAAATACCTGATGTAGATAACAGGGGGATGGATGCAGCAAACCACCATAGCATGTGTATACCTATGTAACAATCCTGCACAATCTACACAATGTATCCCAGAACTTAAAATATAATAAAAAAATACTAAATGACTGAAAGAAGACCAGGGGTTTTATATATATTTGCTGCATTACTAGTAATCTTTTTAGAAATGATTTATCTTTAAGCATTACTGGCAGGGCACAGAGGTTCAAGCCTATAATCCCAACACTTTGGGAAGCTGAGATAGGTAAATCACTTGAGGCCAGAGGTTTGAGACCAGCCTTGCCAAAATGGTGAAACCCTATCTCTACTAAAAACCAAACAAAGCAAAACAAAAAAAAAAATTAGCCAGGTGTGGTGGTGCACACCTATAATCCCAGCTATGAGAGAGGGTGTGGCAGGAGAATCACTTGGACCCAGAGGTGGAGATGGCAGTGAGTCTGAGATTGCACCCACTGCACTCCAGTCAGGACAACAGAGCCAGACTCTGTCTACAAACAAACTGACAACAACAAAAAATGCACTACCTTCCCCCTTTCAATTTTTAGGAGAGGGATCTCAGTATTAGCAAATCATTTCTTCGTGATTTGACAAAGATACATGTTTCGAGGAGAAGTGGAATAATGTGATTTTCAAACTTCCCTTCATATTTTTCCTTGACTCTCATTTTTTAAAGAGGCCAAATTTTGTATTAAAATAATGCAAATAGCTATAAAACTTGCATATAAGTTTGTGATGTTTATGAAACTTAGATTAATACCTTTTTCTCTAGAGGCAAACTTTTTTGTTTACTTCAAAAGTAAAGTTTAGAAAACATTATAAACCCACAGCGCAGTGATTTTGGATTTTGCCATCTCTTGCGAAATTGAGCCCTTTTGAAATTGTATTAATGGTGTCTTATCCTCTTAGCCATCCCTCCCTGCCCCATTTTTCAAAATCGTTTGGCTACACTTGCACCCCTTTTTTGTCACTCATGTAGTTTCATCAGGTTTCAAGTACCATTACAGAATGACTGTCACCTTTTCTATAGAAATAGCTTAAATTCCTCAACCTGAAATACCAAAATTCAGTAAGTTACTTAGCTGTCAAAGCTATGTGACAATGTTACATGTGAAATACTTTTTATGAAATACAACCATTTCATGTCCCATAATACTTGAAAAACCTACATTTTAAAGTTATATTAAAAGTTAAGCAAACCAAAGAAAAAAATGCTCAACTTACAAATTCACAAAAGAAAAGAATGCAGAACAATGCATATTGTCCTCTTGGTGAAAAATAATGAATAAAATAATAAAAACCCTGCCATTTATTTGTATGTGTGTATATGCATGTAGGGACTGTTTCAGTGTTAACTGTCACTCCATACATATATATCCAAGGAAATCCTTATGTTGGAGGGCTTAGAGAATGTTAGTAATCATTAGAAGAGAGTCTATATTCAGTCATTATTTTTTCTAATGTTTTCTAGAATCAATATTCTTAGGTGTACACTGGTATTCTTCCATCCTTCTTTGACTGTAATATTTTATATTCTGCTTCTCAGTCTCTTTTTATTATTATATAATGGTTGATCAAGGTTTCTAATGCATATTTTTAATTCCTGTATTTGTTCAATACAGAACATTCCTGCAAATACAACTCATGTAACTTACTAGGCTATGTGCAGTGCTTACTGAGCAGACACAAAGGGTATAGATAGTGGGAATAGTAGTAGCAGAAGAGATTTCTTGGAGGCTGATGGTGAGCAATTATGAGTAGAACAACTGCCTTCTTAAGAAATTCTGTATTAGGATTATTACATAGATAATATAATTTTATGTAATTTTAACATAACTATACATTTTTGCAAATTAAGATACATAGGATATGAAGAAACTGAGCCTGTGGTGTTAAAGAAAAATTCCCCAAATCCACAAACAATTACGCTATATAACCATCTTCTAAATATTGGTATCATGCAAGGTTCATTCAGACTCAAATTCTGGTTTTGCACTATCTGTGCAAATTTACTGTTATTAACCTTTCTAAGCTTCACTTAAATGGAGATATATTAGAATTGTTGTGAGAATTATGTGATAATACGAGGAAAGTGTTTAGCAAATGGTAGTAAATAAATATTAGTTATTTTTGCTGCTGCTGTTAATTTAAAAATTTTGTAGATTAAGCATTTGAGAGAGAACTTGAATATGATTATAACTGTGCAATAAGTTTGCATTTTGCTGCTTTTAAAAGCATTTTCTTGATTATAAAGGTTTGGTATGAGACTTCTCACTTGGTACACAATTCATTTCATATATGACTTACAACTTTTGTGCCCCTTTTCACTAATTCTTATTATTTTAAGATTAATGGTATTGATTTCTCAGGAAAATACGTTAGAATAGGTAGACATCAATTAGTGATATTTGTTTTAAATATCTTAGCAATTTTTAAAATTTGTATATTTTGCTTTATTATATTAATGATGTGTTTAATATGGAATTAGAAACATAGATATAAAAACAGATCTCTTAAATTCTTATTAAATATTCAATTAATAATACAAGTACATAGTTTTTTTCACTGACATGTTTATTCACAGTTTCAAAATTTGTAATGATGTTTTTCTTATGTAATTAGACTTTTAATGACTAATATTAAGTTCAAAATTGAATGTATCTTAAAAATATTTCATCACCAACTGTAGTCCCTTGGTAATTTAGTACATAGGGTATAGTATAATAATATGAGAAATAGGAATATTAAAATATAGAATAATTAGTGCCAAAAATTTATATTTTTTCTTCTGTGTGATAGAAGTCCCAGTGAAAACTACAAAGTTTAACTAGAGGTGGGGTGAATAAAAAGAATGTGTTCATTTATTTTCTTTTTGGTAATATTATATTTATATTTCAAGAGTGGCTAAAAAGAGAAGAATTTTTCTTCTTTTATTTGTGTGAGATAAATTCCAAGATTTTATAATAAAATCTAGAATCACTAATATGTCTGCTACTTCCAGTTTCTCAGTATATACCTGAAAATATTTATGGGAGAAATAATGTGAATATTTTCTACTCTAAATAGTTATACAAATTAATTGCAATTATAGTACAAAGTCTGTCAAATTATTTCAAGCTAATATGTGTGCTATGTTAAATTCATTTTGTAGTACCAATGTTGTCACATATCTCAATCTACAAAACTGAACTGATGATTATTTAAAGACCTTTAAACCTTTGGAAAAATTAATTCATAGTCTACAAATATTGGAAGGTTGAAAGGACGATGTTTTGGTGAAATTTAAGTGCCCAGCAAACAAGAATCACATAACAGCTGTGATAAGCTCACATATACCATTTTCCTATGAATCATTACTAAAATTAAAATTCAATACATACCATAGACCTTGAATAACAAAACCTTGAAGAGTCTTCATAGCCAAGGTTCTGTTGTGCTTCCAGTATGTTCCTTCATATATTTGCTTTCTCTGTGTATCATTCTTCCTTTGGTTTCCCAAGCTCATGGTCTTAATCATCTCTGTACTGTTTAGTATCTTCTTTTCTTGCAACATTCTCTACATGATAGAGCAGTGTGAAGATGTGGTTAATGTTTATGGCTGGGGCTAAACTCATGGCCAGTGGTAATAGAAGAAAAATGTACACTTCTACAGTTTGAACAATACACTTATATGTCTAAAATTAGAACTTGATATTTCTGGAGTATTAACTGTTAGTTTACTGTTCTTAAGCAATGTATCTACTTCCTACTCTTCTCTAATAGCAGTGTCCATTTAATATAAATATTATTTTCATTTATAGAAAAAGAAAATAAAATTGCTGATTTTAGGACTTGGGAATTCAAGGCATTTAAGACAAAATCCGTTGTATTTCAATAATTATTGTACATTGTAAATAATTACATATGTAATGAAAGTCACTGGGTCTACTACATAGACCAAAACCACAAAATATGTATTTGTAAATCAAGGGCTTTGTCATAGGATATATGAGACTAGTAAATAATTAATAGATATCTGCAAAAAGTCATGAAAATTCTAAAGAAAGAACAATAAATAACACACTTGATTGCACACACATACACATATAAACACACATATTTTTAAATTTTGTTTTTAAGTGCATATTGACAAATTATAATTGTATATATTTATGGGGTACAAATGGAAGTTATGATATATGCATATAACATAACATTATTTTACCAGGCTAATTAAAATACCAATCACCTCTAATACATCATTTTTTATGGTAAGAACATTTGAAATTACTCTTTTAGCAATTAGAAATATATAATACACAGTTGTTAACTATATTACTGTGCTGTACAATAGATCTCACAAAACTTGTTCCTCCTGTCCAGCTGAAACCTTGTACCAATTCTTCATTCTCCCCACTCCCCAACTTCTTTTAACAACCATTCTGCCTTCTGCTTCAATTAGTGCAATTGTTTTAGAGTCCACATAAAAGTGAAATCATGCAGTATTTGTCTATTTATATCTGGTTTACTTCCCTTAACCTTATGTCCTCTAGTTTCATCTATGTTGTTGAAAATAATAGAATTTCCTTCTTTTTAAAGGCTGAATAGTATTCTATTACATATATATATATACATTTACACATACGTATATGTGTATATATATATATATACGCGCCACATTTTCTTTATCCATTCATCCATTGATAGGCATTTATGTTCCTTCCACAATGTGGCTATTGTGAATAATGCTGAAATGAACATGGAAGTACAGTTATCTCTGGCATAATGGTCTTTTATATATGTGTATGTGTGTGTGTGTGTGTGCATAATTAATGTATAATTAATGTATAGTACAGTAAGAAATCACAAGCGTGTGTAACAGCAAGGCAATCTTGAGCAAAAAAAAAAAAAAAATAGAGGCATCAAACTACCTACTACCTAATTTTAAATTCTATTACAAGGTATAGGAATTAAATCATTATGTTACTAGCGCAAAGATAGACACATCAGCTAACAGAACAGAATAGAGAGTCCAGAAATTAACCCAGGTATTTGTGGCCAATTGATTTTTGATAAAGGTGTCAAGAACACACAATGAGAAAAAGGTAATTTTGACTACAATATGTTAGAAAAAAATTTTTTTTTTTTAAAGTACAACAGCATTTAATGGTCAGGAATGGTTGTACACTATTACAGTCAGCCACAGAAGCTGTGTTGAAGGACAAGACCCAATCCTTCTCCACACCAGGCAAAGCAGTATTGGACATGAGCTGGCATGTGGCTGGGTCCACGTCCCCATCCCTCAGGCCTGAGGGAAGACCACCTTCTAATAACCCCCAGCTACCACTCTGTATTCATCAGGGGAGAGGTATAAACCCCACATGCAAGAAGAACCATTGCCCCCAGTGTCAAATGGGATGGGGATGCTAGAGTTACAGTAAAGGGGAAATCCTATGTAAGCTGTTAGCAGAGTTCACAGGGGTAGGGATTACCCCTGTTCTCCAGTTCCCAGATGTGCTCACTTTCCCAGCTTCTTCATCCGTTCATCAATGCTGGCAAAGTTCCCCTCAACTGTGGCCAGGTTTTCATGCATGGTTATCTGCACCTGGGTCAAGAGGGTGGTATTGTCCTTCAGAGAATTAGCAATCATCTGCTGGGTGGTATCCAAGTGTGTCAGGAGCTGACCAAACTGCATGGCTTGCTCATGCAGCTGCTTGATGGTGACTAGATATCCACATGAAGAAGAATAAAATTGGACCCTTATCTCACACTATATTCAATACAAAATCAATTCAAAGTGAATTAAAGGCATAAATGTAAGAGCACAACCTGTAAAACCATTAGAAGAAAACAAAGGGGAAAGTACATGACATTGGTCTGTCCTGTGATGTTTTGGATTTGACTCTAAAATCTCGGGCAAGCAAAGCAAAAATAGCTAAATATTATTATGTCAACCTAAAAAGCTATGCACAAGAGAGGAAACATCAGAATGAAGAAAGGCCTATGGATTTGGAAAAATATTTCCAAGCACTATATCAGATAAAGGGTTAATATCCAAAATAAATAAGGATCTTGAACAATACAATGCAAGGAAAATATATAACCTAATTGAAAAGGGAAAATGACTTAAACAGATATTACTCTAAAGAAGATATACAAATGGCAACAGCTAAATGAAAAAAATTCAGTATCGTTAATCATTGTGATTTTAATGCAAATTAAAACTATAATGAGATATCACTTCACTCCTTTAAGAATGGCTATTAGTAAAAAGATAAAAGTTAAGTGTTCGCAAAGATGTAGAGAAAAGGGTATACCTGTGTACTGTTGATGGGAACATAAATTAGTACAGCTATTATTGAAAACTGTATGGAGTTTTTCAAGAACCTAAAAATAGTTACCATATGATTGAACTTATAAATCTTTAATAAAATTAAAGTGAACTTTTCACATAATACATGTTGCATTTTTTAGACTGTGTAACCTGATAGATATTCAAATCATGTGAGCTTCAAAATGTGTACACTCTAATTGTTGCAGCAGGTTCAGTATATGTCTCGTATAAATATTTGTTAACTGTCATTTGAATAGAACTTTTTCTTTTTATTCTTCTCTACATATCAGTTACTAGAAAGAAATATGTTATCCTCTACAAAAGATGTAGTTTATTATAGTCTAAACATTTTGCCATTTTTTGGGCTTTTTATTCTGTTCATGTAAATAGCAGCTGGAACAATTAGACACTCACTTGTTTACAATCTCTGACTTTCAGAAGAACTATTCATTTTATCATTAGGATCTTTATAACAAATACTTTTATTTTAACTTGAACTGTACTGTATCTGATAATAGTATGGCTATTCCATTCTTTAGATTTTCATGGTTATATGTTTTATGTCCTGTAGCCTCAACTTTCCTATGTAATTATAATTTCAGATTTGTGTCTTATTTAATAAAAGTAAAGGAAGTTTTGTTTTTATTCATTCTGAAAATCGCTACTTTAAATTTTAAAATTCCATTTAAATTCAATATTAACAATTAATATTGTTAGTATGTGCATCTCCTCATTCAAGCATATTTTATACTTTCCCTTTTATTTATTCTTCATTAAAAGATTTAAAATATATGTATGCATGAAACATAAAGGAACCTCATAATGTTATTTTGTTAACACCCACATACCTCTTTATGATCATCATCTCCTACTACTTTCTGGATGCAAACTCTATCAGGGCATATACAACTTTTACTTCCCAAGTTGAACCTTTAGATATAGTCTTACAGAATTTACATCTTTAAGATACTAAATTATCTAATACATATTTGTGGTATATTTATTTATTTAGGTCTTTAAGTAATATTTTGTGTTTTTTATTGTAGAAATTTTATATACCATTATGTTCATTCCTAGGTATTTGATATTTTTGATACCACTTAAAATAATATAGATTATTTTAAATTGCATTTTCTATTTTTGCCATAGATGTGTATATATAAACACATGTGCGCATGCACACACACACACACACATTGACCTTATAGTCAATGATTTAAATTAATTTATATTTTGTTAAGAACCACGTTAATAAATAATGTGTTAATAAATTATTTAAAGTTATAATTTAATAACTTATTAATAAATAATAATTTTTAATAAATTATTTAAAGTTAATTATTTAGAAATTTCTAAGCATGCACTACTATTATTTATGCATAGTTAAGCTTATATTTCTTCTTTTCTAATTCTTCACCTTTTATTTCCCCGTTTTCTTTACATACTCAGAATAAGATCTCCAGTCAGTACACTGTGGAATTCTAGTGATATAGAGCTAAGGGCATGCTGACATCACTTGAATAGAGACCAATAGACAGCAAATAACGAATGTTCGTGAGGAAGTGGAGAGAAGGCAACCCGTGCACTTGTAATTTAGTACAACCACTATGAAGAACAATTTAAAGATTTCTCAAAAAACTAAAGATTGAACTACCATATCATTCACAAATCCCACTGTTGGGTATGTACCCACCGAAAGAAAGTCAGTACATCAATAACATATCCACAATCCCATTTTTATTATAGTACTGTTCACAATAGTCAAGATTTGGAAGGAACCTAAGTGTCTGTCAACAGATAAATGGATAAAGAAAACATGGCACATATACATAATGAAATACTCTTTAGCCATAAAAGGAATGAGATCCTATCATTTGTAGCAAGATGGATAGAACTAGAAATTATTATGTGAAGTGAAATAAGCAAAGCAAATTCAGTAACACATTGAAAGTTATACACATATGATGAGTCGGGATTTATTCCTGGGATACAAGTATGATTAAGTATATAACAATCATTAAATGCCATATACCACAATAACAGAATAAAGGATATAAATCTTACGATCATCTCAACAGATATAGAAAAAAAGCATAAGGCTTTTGACAAAATTCATCAACCTCTTATGGAAAAAACTCAACAAACTAGATACAGATGGAATTTACCTTAATATTATGAAGGCCAGATATGAAGAGCCCACAGTTATCATACTCAAACTGAAAGATTGCTTCTCAAATCAACAAGAAAGCAAGAATGCCCTATCTCACCCCACCCCGCATTCAATGTTGGACCAAAAGTCCAATCCACAGCAATTAGGCCAGCTAAATAAATAAATAAAGCCATCCAATTTAGAAAGTAATAAGTAAAATCATCTCTGTTTGCTGATGGCTTCATCTTATATCTTAAAAACAACATAAAGAGTCAATAAAAACAAAAAAAACCTGACAGGACTAATATATAAATTCAGTAAATTTTCAGTACAGAAAATCAGCATGCAATAATCAATTGCATTCTCAAACATTACCAACTAATTTTAAAAATTAAGAAATTAATAACTCTTATTTACAAAATTAAGAAATATCCAAATATTACAAATTATCTAATTTTTAAAAATAAGAACTTAATAAATCTCATTTACAACAGCATCAACAAGAATAAAATACTTCAATGTAAATTTAACCAAGGATGTATTTATGTTGTATACCGAAATATATAAAATATTGATGAAAAAATTATTGAAGATAAAAATAAATGAAGACATCCTGTATTCATGGGTGAAAGAAGTGATATTATTGAAATATTCATACCAACCAAATTAATCTACAGATTTTACACAATCCCTATCAAAAACTTTGGGTATTTTTTACAGAAATGAAATACAACTCTAAATTGATATGAAATCACAAAGTACCCTAAATACCTAAAGCAAAACTCAGAATGAACTATTATGAGGTGAAATAAGCCAGGCCCAGAAAGACAAGCATTGCATGTTCTCTCTTATTTGTTGTGTCTAAAAATTAAAACAATTAAACTCATGGAGGTAGAGAGTAGAAGGATGGAGAGCGTAGTGGGGAATTGGAGGAGAGGTAAGGATAGTTAATGCACAAAAGTTAGCAAAAATGAATAAGACCTACTCTTTGAAAGCAAAACAGAATGACCATAGTCAATAATAACTTAATTGTGTATCTAAAAATAACTATAAGAGTATATTTGACTTGTTTTTAACACAGAGAATGAATGCTTGAAGTGATTGTGTACTCCATTGTCCATGGTGATTATTAACACTTACTCTTTGATAGTACCATTCCTGTAATCCAAGCACTTAGCTAGGCAGAGGTGGATGGGCTTGAGCCAAGGAGTTGGAGATCAGCCTAGGCAAAACCCTATGGCAAAACCCCATCTCTACAAAATACGAAAATTGGCTGGATGTGATGAACAGCTCTTGTAGTTCCAGCTACTAGGGAAGCTGAATGGGAGAATCACCTGAGCCTGGGGAGATTGAGGCTGCAGTGAGCCATGATCATACCAATTCACCTCAGCTTGGGCAACAGAGAGAGACACTGTGTAAAAAAATAAATCAATCTTTTAAAAGTATCTGGAACTGTAAAATGTATGTTGAGAATGAATATTCTGAAGGCATCAACTCTGATGTTCTAGGAGAATTGCATTCTAGGGAGAAGAAACAAGTGTAAAAGCTTAATATTGTAAGGTTACATGTGGTAAAATATTTTTAAAAATCCAATTTGACAAGTGCCTGGTAGACAAAAGAAATAGTGTTGCCACATGAGGGCAGAGAAATAGTCAGTAGACAGATCATTAAAGGATTTATAAGCCGGAGCAAAAGAAAAGTTAATGCTAAATGTGGTATCCGTACACTAGAAAGCTTTGACCAAGGGAGAAACATGATGGTTTCTGTATGGAGAATGGGATATGGTGCTGTGGAGAGAAATGAAGAAAGGGCTTCTCCTGCACTTAGAGGGTTTTGGAGTTTTCAAGTGAGAGATAATGGTTGACTGGATTTCTAGTGGATAGAAGTGGTAGAAATATAATGATTTATACCAGTTCAAGTATTTTGTAGGTAGGCAGGATGGGACTTAGTACTGGTAGGAAGGATGAAGAAAGAGTAATTAGGGATGACTCCCTGATTGTGAATTAAGCTACAGACTGGATACCAGTGTCATTTAATGGGTTGGGGAGAACTTGGGGAGAAAGAGGCATTGGTGGAGAGATGTCAACAGTTCTTTCTGGGACTTGTTAATTTTGAGATACCTGGAAGATAGTCAACTAGATGCCTTAATTCAGTATTTGGATATGGGAATATGGAGCTGAGTAAATAAGTAAATACTAGGTTTAAATATAAGATTCAACAGCATAAGAGTGGTATGTAAAGCCATTTTTAAAATTTTTATTTTTTATTGGAATAACTGAAAACAATATAGATGAAAACATAGAGGTACTAGGATGAAAGGGCACTGCTATTAGATTTAACTACATGTGATGGTGCGCCTACTTAAGTGGGATAGTAAAGGTAGAAGCTTAATTTTTCTGTCATTGTACATTACATTTCAATCTAAAACCTGATTTTTTGAATCCTATTGGTTAAGATAATCTGAAGGGCCTTTTTACAGAGGAAAAAGAGGATTTAAAATGATTTCCTAAATCCTCAGTGAGATGCTAACATTTCCAGAAAAGTTTAACAATCTGAACACATAATTTCACTATCAGCAAAGGAAGATTTGAGCAGGTTCCTAGAGGGAATGGAAGAAAACAAAAGGCCAGGATTTGACTCTCTCTGCCATTATTGCTCATCCAGACTAACAAGGTCAGATCACCTGGCAGATCATGAGTTATAATAACCACTGACTTTTAGTAGTTGATATAGGAGAGAAAGGACCCCACATTTAATGTTAAAGCAAAAATTATTCCTTACTGTTCCTCAGAAGCTAGTTCTTGAGAACATACACAATAGGAGACCCTTCCTTTAATGTCCAGGAGAAGATTTATGTTGCCTCCAAAGTTTATGTCAGGAAGAATAAAGGGGAGAGAAAATCATTTAGCAAGTTCTGCAACAACATTCAGTTTATTTGAAAAAATGGTAAATCAGAAATAAATGAATTATCACTAATTGGGAAGTTCAAGGATATTGCATTTTGCTTAATATTGCTTTTTATTTTTCCTCAAATCAATAGGACTTACAGGTCACAAAAGAGTTTGATATAGTTTTATAGATGTAAAGTCAATTGTTTTCACATCTAAATAAATATCATGTGTATATCCTTTGTTACACTCTGTTAAATTCTGGTTTATTTAGTTTTGTGATGTATTTAGCTATTTATCAAGTAGCTCCTCATTTAAATTTGTTCTTGTTGGTCATTTAGACAATTCTGATTTTTGTCCTTCTTTAAATCAAAATAAATTGGCTACTTTCTATTTTAAAACTTTGGACGATTAATTGGTAATAATATCCTGCATTATAGGCTAGTATCCTCTCCCTCATGAGAGACTTCCCTAACCTTTTCAAGTGCACTTTCTAAAGCTTAATTTACTTGCTTGTCTCTCCATGTTCTTCAAATATTTCTTAAAATGAGAGTCCAAACTTGATAAAATTCTAAAAGAAACATAATCATAAAATTACAGAGATAATATAAGAACAGTGTCAATTTAAACCTCTTCATTGGTTCAATAATTTGTATTTCAAATTTATTTATTTTAATTTATCGTGAACAATAGGATGTTATGAAGTATGTATACATTGTGGAATGCTGAAATCTTGCTAATTGACATAAATGTCATCTCAACTGGTTATCATTTATGCAATGAGAAGACAATGTTTGTTCTCTTTGCATTTTTCAGCAATACCATATGTTGTCATTAACTATAGTCACCATGCTGTACAGTAGATCTTTTGAACTTATTCCTTCTATCTAACTATAATTTGGTTCAATCATTGTTACATCTGCAATGCGCCCACAAAAATTAAGAAGAAAAACATTCATTCAATCTGGCTTAAACTAAAACCAAACTAACTTACCTGGAGTGCTTCTTTTGGCTTGGAAGTGGGACATCCAACAACTGTAAGCATGGTTGTGGTTGTGTAAACTTCAGAAAGAAAGATATTGGCTCATGAGGAAGTGATTTTTTCTTTTACTTCTTTTCTTTTTCCCCCCAGAGGGATGCTATGTTTACTTGAAAGTAGACTTTCTTAAAGGTGTTTAACTTCAATTCATGGCTCCTATATTTCTTTCTTTAAATTTATGGATGCAGTTTGAGATTATTTTAAATCTATAGATATGACATTTCCCTCCTTGGGTTTTTTAAGCCTTTATTAAATGTGTATGTGTGTGTGTGTGTGTGTGTGTGTGTGTCCATGGATTTACTGTCCTTATCTTCTACATTCTTATTTGAATATTCTCTTTGAATCTTTCTAGAGATCATTCATTGATTCCTTTCTATCCCCAAATTTAAGCATATGCATTCTTCAAGTCTTTCAATGGATCCCCCTTAATTTTTTTTAACATTTTTCTTATATTTTTATAAATTTCTTCTGAGTTCTCCTTTGTATCCTTCTTTGCCCCCTTTTAAACATAATTTAATTATTTGAAACCTCTTTTTTACTCACAAATTCTGTTGCAGACTACCGCTATTGTTCATCAAATATGCTTTTGAATTATTCTTTCAGTTCGAATTCTTATTAAAGGGCCACTTGCCCTTCTTCTTTGCATCCTTCTTTGCATCCTTTGTACCTTTCTTTGCATCCTTCTTTGAATCAGAGGATTCTTTGTCAGAATCTTTTTTTGCATCTTTCTTGGCATCCTTCTTAGACTCTTTCTTAGCATCATCCTTTGAGTCACTGTCTGTACTACTGGGCCTCTTCTTATCTTTCTTATCCTTTTTATTCTCCTTTGCATCTTTCTTGGCATCCTTCAGTTCATCACCTTTCTTTGCATCTTTTTTCCCATCCTCACCCTTCTTTTCATCTGCTTTTACAGATTCTGATTCCATGGTTGAATCCTTGCCCTTCTTTGAATCTTTTTTGTCTTTTTCGGCATCTTTCTTTGTACCTCCTTTTTCATCTTCAGATTCTGTGGCTGAGCCTTTGCCCTTGTTTACATCCTCTTTACCTTTTTTGCTATCTTTTTTTGCACCTCCTTTTTCATCTTCAGATTCTGTAGCCGAGGCTTTTCCCTTCTTTGCATCTTTTTCGCCTTTTTTGCTATCTTTCTTTGCATCTAGGTTTTCATCTTTTCCTTTATCTACCTCCTTGCCTTTCTTTAAATCTTTTTTCCCTTGTTTTAATTCTGATTCCTTCTCTTTTGTCTTGTCTTCATCTTTTTTACCAATATCTGGGGATAAATATTCAAATATTTCTTAAAATGAGAAAATCCAAACCTGATAAAATTCGAATAGAAACCTAATAAAAAAAATTTACAGAGATAATATAAAAACAGTAAGTTCTGTCCACCTGCTGCTTTAGAATCCGCCTTGAAAGTGCGAGTTGGTTTGAGAGGCTGCCTCCTGGCAGCTAAATAAACAGATGGTCTCTCGGAAATTCTCATTAAAGAACGGTGCATCCATAATGGTGGTCTATGACCTCCTCTTAATTGTTCTTCATCAATTATCTAAAAGATTGGTTACAATAATGATGAACACCTTTGGGTAAATTACACAGTTTTTTATTAGTATATCCCAAATATATTTTAACTTTAACCATAAAGAGATTTTAGCTTTTGTTAAAAAGTGGGGAAGTTACAGATTTTATCGTTTATTTTGGTTTTGTTTTTTAAGTTTTCATCCTCGTTTTAAAACTATGAATAATCATGCCTTATTTGGAGCTTACTTTCAGTTCATAAGACCTTCATGGTTCCCTCAGGATTTTAGGTTCAAATCGGTGGAGGCCTCCATTGACTCAAGGCATATCAGAACCTCTCTTCACAATCACAGGAGGATTTTTTTTAAAAAAATAAAGCTCTATGTTTTTGAGAATTCTTGGAATATCTTGTCCACCTTCTATTTTTTAGTAACTCAGAAACTATTCTATAATATCTAATAGTTTCAGGTTGAAGCATATCTTAGTCTATTTTCATTTTCAGTCTCTGAAATTTAGAATGCTACTCATAAAGATAAAAGCCTGAGACTCCTATTGCTTGGAGAGATACAAATTGAGTATCATCAGATTGGTAACCGAAATAATAAAATCTGTAACAGGGAATGTTAGTTTGAGATTGTGCATTTTATTTTCAACTTCTAATTAAACATGTACAAAACTAAATGACAAAAATAGCCAATATTGGTACAAATATTAACAAACAATGGGAAAATAAATTCACCAAAGAAAAAAAGAAAAAGAACTTTGTTCACTACTAATGGGATACATTTTCAAAAATAAACAAGTTAATGATACACTTCTTTTGTGAAAACTTTCCTTTGAAAATATGCATATCCCATGTTGACTCCAGAAACATTGGGAAATATTTATTTTCCAATACTCTGAATCCTGAATTCTGTATTACAGAACTGAGGAAGTATTAAAAGTATAATGTAATCCCATGACTCAAATGAGGGGGTTTCTCCAGCTGAAGAACATTTTCCAAAAGTTCATACTAACTCTAACATTAGGATCTCCATATTTTTGTACTTATTGGAAACATTTTTTGTAATAAAGGGTTACTGAAAAAATAGTTAATATGAAATAAAGGGGGCAGTTATATACAGTAAAATGCAAATACGACACATCTACTTTTTTAAGTAGTAGAATTTGAATTGCTTCTAACTGTGCTGTTCAATATGGCATTTCATAGCCACATGTGAATTGCTTTAATTCAATGTAATTTAAATGTAAAATTCAATTCCTCAGTTACACTAGCCTCGTTTCAAGTATTTAATAGCCTCATTGGACTATAGAGATAAATATTGCCATCATTGCAGAAACTTTGTCAGCTTTGATCTATAACACATAAAACTATGCATGATTTCATAAGCTTACTACTCATGAGTGATTACTTAAGACTAATAATTACTTATGGTCACAATTACTACTAAGTTATTACTTATTACAGATAATTCTATTATCTTCCCAGTACTTACAGGAACTGTGTTGTCCCTTATTTGAGAAGGTTTCGATCTTCTTTTCGTTCCTGGCCGTTGTGGTTTTGGAAATGACAGGGCAAAGTGTTGCTGATTCCATGATTTTTTGCTTAATTCACTCACTGAAATAAGAAAGACAAATCACACATTTTGAAATGAGTAGAATTTCATCAGAGCTAAAATGGCATTAAATGCAATGTATATCATGTAAATGAATAAACAAGTGATTCAAATTATGGCTTCATTTATTTGGTAATGTTTGCAATTTTCTGTTATCAATATGAGAAAATAAAAATTGATTTTTCTATTTTGACCAGTTTTACAGATAACTATAGAAAATAGTAATTGCAAAACTAATATCACTAAATGGAAAGATTCCGTTTCACTGCTTCCCTTTATTCTATCTCTTCCAATCCAGGTTTTTGCTTCATACTTTTGGTTAGCATACAGTTTTATTAAAAACAGAAAATAAGTTAACTACTTCTGTAGCTCCCATAGTAATTAGCACAATGCTGACATAAAATATTCAGAAAATACATGATTTCATCTAAATGCTAAGGCTTAAGATCCCCTTATTTATAATAACTTTCCAAGCTACAAGAGTAAATGCTATAAATCCAAGAATGGCATTGTTACGGGTGATGTATTTAATAAAGAAAATTGACAAAAATTCTACAGAATGGTGCCTGGGTGGGTGAAGTAAGCTGGAAACTATTCTAGAAATGATTAAAGATATTTCAGTTACCAATGAGACCAATGAGAGATTTCCTCATTGTATTTAGATACATGCAGTATTAATGTGCGGAAATAATAGACATTTCCTGTGAGTCCTCTAAAGAAAATAGAAACAGTGGGAAAAAGGTACAGAAAAAAATCATATCTGAGGAAATGCTCAGTATCTGAGGAAAATGTAATTGATATTTGAAGTCCTCCAAAATCAAATACGTTTGCCTTGCCTAGTAAAGAAATTTCAATCCAATTTTAAGCTGGATGTAATCTATCAGGAATGTTGTAGAGGAATAATCAACATTCCTGACAGACTATACCCAGCTTAAAATGAGATATAATAAACATAAACAAGAAATTGTTTATCTAATTTCTACATTGCTTTTCAATTGTAAGATTATCTGATTGTATGAGTTCTAACATGTAACTATTTCCAGCTTTATGCTACTGAATATATTTACTTAAAATTCATTGGATTCAAGACAAAGCAAAATATATGTAAAAGGTGTTCCATGTGCCTGTAAGAAAGGTTCCTTGGGAAACAAAGTTGATTATCAATTTGATTCCATGGCAATGTTTGCTTTATCACTTTGAATGGAGAATAATACTTACCGTAAAATTAATCACACACGTTTTGAAATAAATATTGAATGCTTTCTTACCTGGAATGTAATTATCATATGTCCCAAAGCTTACTTTATGGCTATTAAAATAAATAAGAAAGGTCTTAGTTAACTTATATGAAATCAGTGTTTTAAATTGGTATTATTATACTTCAGCACTTACAACTAACAACTAGAGAAATACTTCACATTCTCAGATATCTTTAAATATATAAGATTGCTTCATCTCCAGGATAGAAGAGATTAGCCAATGTGTTTTCAAATTACAACAGTACTAAATAATGGTTGGCCAAACAAACTATATATACATATATCTATCAAATAGGTATGTGTGTGTGTGTGTGTGTGTGTGTGTATATGTGTGTGTGTGCACGCACGTGCACGCGTGCATGTGTGTATATATATATACATATATAAACAAACTGCACATCTGAAAATATACATTTACAAAATTACAAAAACACAGTTGAATTATTTTTCTCATTTCATGTTTCAGATTCTCTTGCAATTCAATTTGAAACAAGATATCGCTTTATAAACCCTATGCTTATGTAAAAGCATAACCTCAAAATACTCTCACAACTTTACCAAATCCAAATTATTAAATGGCATGTATGTGCACCTGTGAATTTGTGTGTGCATGTGTATATTTCAGTATGGACCATAAAAATTCATAAGGAATTTTGCTACATTTTAAAGAGAATCTGAAAAACAAAACTATATTGCAAATTATTTTCCATTTATAGTTTCCCATTTGATTTATTACTATCTAAACATGTTTGTTCCCATAAAGGAGAGTTGTACAATCTAATTTTTATTTATTGGTGATGGAGACAAACCCTACAATCTATTAGAGAAATATTATTTTACATAGTTTCATTATATTTTGGATATAGAGCGATCGTTGGGCATGAGTGAGTTTGAAGCTTATGTGCCTCATGTAGTGTTTATTTTGACAGATGTATAGTAAAATTTAAGGTTTAAGTATGGAAAAACAGTGTCTTGATACCTTGACTAAAGAATGAAGCTACCAGTATAAAACATGGCACATTTTTGTCACACTATAAAAATTTGTATTAATCATAATTAATTATAAATTAATCATAATTATTCATAAACATATTAAATGTTTTCACCAGTAAGTTATCCAGTCTTTCATTTTCTTAAACTGAACCCATGCACCAAAATTACTTGCCCTATAATATCTGAATATCTAAATTCAGATCCAGTCAAACTACATTTATATACTATAGAAGAAATTTTAATGTCCAATGGTGATTATAAACTGCATTATTCTAAATGCTCTGAATGAGGAAATATTTCAAGTTCATTATTAAACTTGAGATTTTCATTTTTTAAAATTTATTCATTTTATTATTATACTTTAAGTTCTGGGGTACATGTGCAGAGCGTGCAGGTTCGTTACATAGGTATACACATGCCATGGTGGTTTGCTGCATCCATCATCCCGTCATCTACATTAGGTATTTCTCCTAATGCTAGAATGATCCATCAATTTCTTCTATAATTTCTAGGACATTGTCTTTAATCACAAAGCAATTGAAATTAAAATCAATGATAAAATTATCTAGAAAAAATATAAATATTTGAAAAATTAACAGCTCCTTTTAAAGAACCAGTGGTCAAACAGAGATCACAATGAAAACCTACTGAAAAAGAAGCTACTGAATAATAAGTTAATATGTGAAAATTATAGAATATTGCTTAAAAGTTCATAGAGAATAACTTATAGTTTTAATGTTTTGTATTATAAAAAATGTTTAAAATCAGTGTTTTAAATCTCTCCATTAAAATTAGGAAAATAGTATAAGAAAAGAAGTAGAGGAGGGGGTAAGTATGTTCCAACTCATTTTTAAGGCTGATATAAATAACCCAAATCCTCTTGAGGTCAATACTAAAAATGCATATTACAGATGAATATCTATCATTAATATAGACACATAATTTCTTAAAATTAAATAGTACTGACAAATATGTAAAATTGCTGATACATCATAACCATCTGGTTTACTTTCCAGAATATGAGGTTGGTTTCACCTAAAATCAAACAATGCAATCATTGACTGTACCAGAGAGGAAAGACATGCTCTCACCAGCAGAACCAGACTTAAAGACATCAAGTTCCTCAGCTTCTAAAGCAATCACGCCAAATGTGTTTAAACCTTTACCAAACATTACACTTTAAAATAATGATTGTTTTTATAAGAAAGTAGACACCAGTATCTACCGAAAGCCTATTTTATTTTTAATATTAATGTTTTATCTTTCTTTTAACAATACTGCTGAACGAAGGCCCAACCATACTTTACATTTCAAAACTCCATTCCTTCACCTTTGTCCCATGTACTGTGTAAAAAAGGTTTACAGAATTGAAATCTATTCTTTGCCTACCTTATTTTAACACAGAATAATTTAATCATAAGCAAACTACTGTCATATGACATACTTCTCATGTCTGGATTAGCTGTTTTACATAACGAACTACTTTCACATACTCAATATTTTGCAAGAGGGATACAATTAGTATTTGGTTGGTCAGATTCTGATAGAGCTGCCCCACTTTTTACTAAAGGTTACCACTGTGATACATGCCTCCTCTAAAATTCAGTTACACTCCTCAGTCACTCTTACATACACAAAAATTATTCACAGAAATTTACAAGTGGTTCCCTGTCTGAAAATCATAAATTATTTTATTTTATATTACCCAAAATACAATGTGATAAGAAATCAAGTAAGACTCACAATAAAAAACAAACCAACAAAAAAAGACTTATTTAAACCCAGGTATCTATTTTGCTGAAATGCATGTACTAGCTATATCTTGAATCAACAAATCGATTATGTTGCTTGAGAAACTTCGTCTGCTAAACACATTATCCTTTGCTTATGAATGGCACAATAATAATATAATAAACACCTCTTCACACTAAAGAAGTTAAATGTAAAGACAATGAGTATTTTAGTATTTTAAAGCATAAAATTTGACTTACAATCGTGGGAGAGACATTTTCTCCACCTATGACTTGCCAGGACTTAAGTATTGTAAGTTCAAATTAGTGATGTTGAAAGGTGACATCACAAAGAGGCCGAGAGCACTCAGAGTTAAAGGGGCAAAACCAAAGGAGAAACTTGTGTGTGTGTGTTTTTTTTTTTTTTTGACACTTGTATTTTATGCTCTCTAAAATTCTAAGTTTAATACTTACTTTCACTTATTATTGTTGACTAAATCTAGCTACAAGTATTAAAAGTATACTTTAATAAAATAATTGTTGAATTTTTTCATGTAGTTGTAACTTACTGATATGGAAAAAGGGCAAGTCTAGACATTTATCTGTAAAGATCAGCTGTAATCCTGATTTGCCTTTCATTCCTATAACTTTTGTTAAATCATCTGCATAATTTTATATGTCTTTCTCTCATCTTAAATTTATGGTCTGCTTATAAACAAAATATTTTAAACAAAGCTAGATGCTTTTTAAACTTATAAACATATTGATATATCTGAGTTAGTACATTTTTATTAAACTCAGAATCTCACCCTATTAATAGATGAATACTAGTAATGTACAGAGAGGCATTTAAACATGTGGCTCTTATTTAGCTGTTTTTAGACTATCTTAACTATTTTTGTCTTAAGAAATAGTTTTATTAAATATCAGCTACTATAAGAGGTAAACTACAAAAATATTAGTGGTTTGATTCAAAGTTTCTAACTGGTCTTATACAATGATAAATTCTAAAGGCATTGGAGCTGGGATGGGAGCCTTCTATCGTTTAGATTTCTATGATCAGATTATTTTGCTGTCTGACTTAATGAGAATATCTCCTGATGTTTTCCTGAAGAGTGATGGTTTAAAGCAAAGTATAATTTCTAAACCTACAATATTTTGTTGGGCATTTTATAGTCTGTAGTGGCTGATGAAAATATTAATCTCTAATGCATTTACTCTATCAGCATACATTAAAATCTAAATCATGTCTGAGCAACCAGCGATACTTGCCTTCTGCATTATCATCTCTTGAATTGATCTCATTGTCATTCTTAATTAAATGTTATGACCTACTAATATTTTAGCCAATGATATTTTATAATGAGCATGTGCCAGTCTTCTATTGCTACATAGAAAATTATTACAAATTTAGTGACATAAAACAATACTTATTTTTTGTCTCAAAATTTTATAATTCAAAAGCTTAGGCAGGTTTAACTAGGTCCTCTGCTTAGTCTCACAAGACTGAAATCAAATTGTCAGTTGAACTGTGTCTTACCTGGAGACTCTAAGAAATTAAACTCAGTGTCTAAGCACGTTTCAGCTGGTAGAATTTAATTCCTTGTGGCTATAGTTCTGATATCTCTGTTTTCTTGCAAACTGTCAGCTATGAGCTGCTTTCTGCTCTTAGAAATTGTCTAAATTCCTTCTCAAATACCACACCGTATATCTTCAAACCTGAAATAGTTCATGGAGTCCTCATAATTAAATCAGTCTTTTTTCAGCCTTCCTTAACCACTGTCAGTTGAGGAAAAGCTTTGTTTCCTAAAGGGCTCAAATGGTTAGATTCAATAAACCTAGATAATGTCTTTATCATAAGGATCAATTGTACTTCATAATGTAGCATGTAATAATAATGCTATCTCCTGTTATTCACAAATTCTACACACACTCCGAAGGAATGGTTGTTGGGAGTCTTTCTTAGATTTTTGCCTATGACAAATCCAATGTTAAGACTAAGAGTCTGTTCTAGAATTTGAGGATTAATAGAAATATATAAAACTATATCAGCCATATATATATATATATATATATATCAGCCATATATATAGTGTCTTAAGATATTGCCAATGTCTATCCAGCATTGGCACTATAATCATACATTAGTATTTTAGTGGTTATTTTTAAGCTTAGAAATCATGTCTTCAAACATAGATATTTTACTTTATAAATATATGTATACATATTTTCAGTGTTTTATAGGTTGTATAGTTATTTGTATACATTAACTCATTTTTTCTATAATGAAAAGGTTAGAAGAGGTGGTTCTTGAATGAGAAATATTTCCTAAGTCTGCAATATGTTAACAACTCAGAAACATGGCTTATAATTCCATTCTTAAAATCAATATATGTAATTATAGATTCTTCAAGCTTGTAATAATTTCAGAGACTCAGTGTTTCATGTATTTATATAGGCACGTACATATATAATGTGTCTGTATGTACGATTTGTATATCTACTTATTAATCTATCTTTCTATTCATGTATCAATTTATCTCCCTCTTTGTTTCACAAAAGGTTTAAGACAATAAAAAGAGTATATAAAGGTAGAAACCACCTTATTAAATGCATTCTAAGACATTTTACACAGTATAGTAGTTTGTATCATTTCAAAAAGTTTTTATAATGACATGTAATAATTGTACATATGTATGGGGTACAGTTGTGAGTTTTAAATGCATGTATATATTGCATAATAATCAAACCAGGGTAATTAGCATCTTCACCCCTTTAAGCATTTATTATTTTTGTTTATCACATTTGTATTAATCCATTTTTGTTTTGCTATAAATACCTGAGACTCGGTAATTTATAGAGATAAGAGGTTTAATTGCTCACAGTTCTGCAGGTTGCACAGGAAGCATGATGATGCAATCTGTCTGGATTCTGTGTAGTCCTCAGAAAACTTGCCATCATGATGGAAGGCAGAGAGGGAGCAGGCATGTCACATGGCCGGAGCAAGTGCAATAGGTCAATAGGTCATGGGGTGTGGATACTACACACTTCAAAACAACCACATCTCACGAGAAGTCACTCATTATCCTGAGACCAGCACCAAGTGGACGATGCTAGACTATCATGAGAAATCCACTCCCATGATCTGGTTACCTCCCCCCAAACCCCGCTTGCATCATGGGGGATTGTAATTCAACCTGACCTTCAGTGGAGACACAGATCCAAACCATATCAACATTCAATTATTTTCTTCTACTATCTTGAAATACATAATACATTATTATTAGCTATAGTCACCCCACTGTCTAATAGAACACCATGACTTATTTTCATGTCTTTGTAACTATTGACCAGCTTCTCCTATACCTCCCTTTGGCTGTTGTTCTCAGCCTCTGTTAACCATTATTCTACTCTCTACTTCGGTGAGATCATCTTGTGTTAGATTCCACAAATGAGTGACATCATTCAGAATTGATATTTCTGTACTTGGCTTATTTCACTTACAAAAATCTTATCCAGGTTCATCCATGTTATTACAAGATGAAATTTCATTGTGTTTTACAGTGAATAGTATTACTATTTGAGGCTTAATAGAAATATAACTTCCTTTCATATATACTTTTTATTATATTTTAAGATCTTGACAATGTCTATCCAGCTTCATCATGATAATCATACATAAGTATTTTGTGGTTGTTTTGAGCCTAATAACTATGTCTTTAAGCATAAACATTCCAGTTTTTAAAAGTATATGTATATATATTTAAGTGTTTTATGGGTTATAAAGTAATTCGTGTAAATTGAGTCATTATTTTCTTATGATAACACAGCAAAATGGTTATAGCACTGCAATAGACATGGAAGAGCAGATTGACTTTGAAATACATATTTCATTTTCTTTGGATATTTACTCAGTAATGGAATTGCTGTAATGTATGATGGTTCTATTTTTACTTTTTTGAGGAACCTCCATACTGTCATATATAATGGATGTACTAATTTACATTTTTACCAGCGATGTACCCTTTCTCCACATCATAACCAGCATTTGGTACTTTTTATCATTTTAATGATAGCCATTATAACTGTGGTTAAGTGATAGCTCATGGTCATTTTGATTTTAAAGAGCATTTTTTTAATGTAACTGTTGGTCATGTGTATGTCTTATTTTAAGAAATGTCTATTTAGGTACTTTGCCCATTTTTATATCAAACTATTTCATTTTATGTTATTAAGTTGTTTGAGTTTCTTACATATCTTGGATATTAATCCCTTGTAAGATGGATAGTTTTCAACTTCTGTAGGTTGTTTCAACTCTGTTGATTTTCATTTATCAGAAGCATTTTAGATTGGTGCAATCCCATTTGTCTATTTTTGTTTTTCTTGCCCCTGATTTTAAGGTCTTACAAAAAAAAACTTTTTCTAGCTTTGCGAAGTGTTTTCTCTATGTTTTCGTTTAGTCGTTTTATATTTCTGGGCCTTTTTTAAAGTCTTCAATTTATTGAGAGTTGATTTTTCTTTATGATGAGAAGTGGAGAGTCTAGTTGCATTCTTATGCCTGTAGAATATCCAGTTTTCCCAGCACTATTTATTGAAGAGACTGACCATTCATTCACCAATGTATTTTCTTAATGCCTTTTTCAAAAATAGGTTGGCTATAAATACATGCATTTATTTCTAAGTTTGTTTTTCTTAATTTCAATGACTATGTATCTATTTTTATTCTAGTACTATACTATTTTTGATACTATAGCTTTGTAGTGTATTTTGAAGTCAGGTAGTATATTGCCTCCAGATTTGTTCTTTTTATTCAATATTTCTTTAGCTATTAAGGATCTTTTGTATTTCTATACAAATCTAATGATTGTTTTTCTACTTCTGTGAGAGATGCCATTGGTATTTTGATGAAGATTATATTGAATGTAGATTATTTTGGGTAGTAAGAACATTTAAAGAATATTAATTCTTTCAATCTATGAACACTGGGTATCTTTCCATTTATTTGTGTTTTCTTCATTTTCTTTCATTAATATTTTATAATTTTCACTATAGAAATCGTTTAGCTCCTTGTTTTAGTTTTTCCCTTGGTATTTTGCTTGATTTTGTTTGTTGCTATTGCTTTCTTGATTTATTTTTTTTAGATGGATCACTATTAGCATACACAAATGTTACTTATTTTTGTGTGCTGATTTTTTTTTTTTTTTTTTTTTTTTGAGATGGAGTTTCACTCTTGTTACCCAGGCTGAAGTGCAATGGCGCAATCTCAGCTCACGGCAACCTCCACCTCCTGGTTTCAGGCAATTCTCCTGCCTCAGC